TACTGCTTTCGCGAATACGTGACTAGTGGTTAATTTGCTTTCTTTTAAATCATTGCTACAGAGCACAAGTTTAATAATTGTTTATATTTCAAAACTGGTGTAAAAGCTGTTATAATAGACTTGTAAAATCAAAAACTTCGTTAGCGGTTTGACGTTTGCCGTAAACGTGAAGCTAAAACTCTCTAATTATAGCGCCAAAACGTCGTGGTATACACGCGCGGGCTTTCGTGGGATTGTCGACTGGTCGCGCGAGAAAATTGAAATCCTGATTTTTGTTACGTCACATAGATAAAAATAAATGTATTTTTCTCGTGTTTCCTTCGGTAATATTTTTTAAAACTTCATACACTTTCCTGTAATCTTGAAGTGCGTAAAATGTGCAAGTTTTAAGAAAATCGTACGAGACAAATTTTTTTTATTCCCAAAACAGGGCTTTTTGAGGATTAAAAAAAATTCTCGTACGATTTTTTTGAAATACTATTATTTGAAGGAATTATAAATAAGATTACTGTGTGCAAAAAATTAAAAAGTTTTACCGAAGAAATTTTCAAAAAATTATCAAAGAATCTGCAAATTGGCCCTTTTTAAAAACGTTTTGTTACCATGATAACGGGGATTTTTAAAGACATTCTTTATTTTTCGTAATTCGCGATATTGTAGCAGTTATGTGGCCAAGTTTCGTGGTCATACTTTGCAATATGATAAAATAATGGTTTTTTGAATACAATTGTGTGCTGTGATCAAAACCGTAGGGAGCCACCTTAAACGGGAAATTAAAACCGAAACTACCGGTTCTTTTGCGCATAATTTTTCGGTGCTAATAAAAGTACCGGAAGAACCGAATTTTTCGGTTAACCGCACAGCTCTAGTATACATGCAAGCGGTCCCAGAAAAATACTCACTCAACGCCCCTCCCCCCGCTCACGATATATTTTGTGGTACTGTATTACATTGTTAACTTTGTAAAAAGTTTTAGATTATTAGTACTGGTAGAAATACAGTCATATCACTGCATGGATTTGGTAATATGTTGTGGTAATCCCCATGGCTTCTATATTGAATTTCCGACAAAGCAGGGCTCCGTGTTTGTGTCTTATAATTTATTAGACAAAAATTAATATCGCACAAAACTATTAATGATTTTATTACTCAGTTTTTAACATCATTCAATAACCATATATACTATAGTCTATACTGTATATAGACATAGACTTACAGTATGTGATATGCCATACGCCGAAATTATTTGTGTCCCAGTTTGGGTAATTTGTTATGGAAACGTTATAAATACACTTATAGGCCTGGTCTTATACAGTTATAATTGTATTATTCTGATTTCCAAAGAATATGGGTTAATTATAGCTACCTTTCACTGCCAAAAAAATAGTGCCATTGAATTAGTCGGTATATTCCGTGCCAGCTATACCATGAAGCTATTTTTAAATTCGAGACGGTGAAAATAATTTATGTTTATCCTGTATTACAAAAGAGCTTACTGTGAGGTGTAGTCAGTCTCCAGCCGTAGAATACACAAGAGTCTGAAGAGAGGAATGTGTGAAGTTTTTATAACCTTTCTTATGAGATCACATTGTTTTTTATGTTGAGCTCTCTAACAAATTAAAGCCGAAGAAGGGCCTTGAAACTTAGACTACATTACATGGCGTAATTTCTACAATATTCGGACGAAACTGCGTTGGATGCGTCCAATTTGAGACTTTGGTGTAATACCAAATCGCCACTGCATATTTGTTGAGTTTATATTTTTTTCTGATTCTGTTTTATGATTGACTTCCTGATCTAGAACACTGGTCGAGAAGTATTTTAATGAAAATCACAGCTAGGGTATCATTATTTATAATACTATGTTTTACAAATAAGTCATTAAATAATGTGCAAGTACAGTCATGCAGTGCGATTTTTCAATAACATGCACTTCCAGAACAAGTGTTATTTCCTTTTGATACCATTTTTGACACACACTGGCATGTGAATAGAAATAGTAGAAAATGCTTCCGTAGCTCATATCCATTCATGGGGTATACCCTGAACTCCGGAAGGCTTTATTTTTATCTTCATTTTCCATAACATTTTTTGTGCTTTTCGAAAGTAATTAGTTTGAGACATGAGAGCACATCACACCATAGATCAAGAATTGGGCATTTTAAAGTATTAACTCGAGAGTTATTAAGGAACCTATATACATGATTGAGTGAGCTTTCAAATCATTGACATTGGTGTTGTATAAAAAATATATGGCAAGCTAGTGATTATCAGTGCCAGTGAACGGTTCGCCGACGTCGTAAATGGCTAAATAGTAAATGTGGTCACCTCTTGCATGATATACGAGTTCATGGCGGGGAGGTGGGCGGGCGGGGAGTTGTTTAGTGTAGGTTAAAGGATGGTTCCTAAAGACCTCAAATGGAACTCGGCATTCGCAATCGTTGAATTTTGTTACTGAGTTTGAGAAACCCACTCGTCTATTCAAATTGCATGCAGAACCATCCTTTTACCTATACAATCATTAACTTCCGCTCTCCAAGTTCGATACTGGCATGGGTTTGTGTCATGCAGTGGTAACTAATACCAAATATGGTTGAAGTTGCGAAGAATACAACTTGCAAATTTGTGTGTGTGATGCAATTACCTGAAAAATAAGGACAAACTTCATACTACCACATAATTAGCACATTCCCCGACCCATAAGAGCGCATGACTTGTGCTTTCCCGACCCTACACGCAACTAACTTCCAGACGAGGGGTTTTAACTTCGTAGTTGCATTGCACACATGCACAAACCCACAAATTGTTTGGGCAAATGCACACAAGCCCGCAAGTTGTTCAAAGTCTCGATTTGTGTTGATCAACGTTAGCCTACGGCTTCGTTGAGAACACAAATTTTGGCTCGATAATTCTTCATATCACGCTCAACGTCATATTAAAATAATTGTTAATTAATTGATGTAGTGCGTCACAATGTAGATTAATTTAAAATTGGCGAGAATTTATTAGTGTTTTCGTCAACATTATTTTTGTTACATTTTAATCAGTTATGTTTGTAACAGTTTACATAGCCCTGCCCATAGTATATACAAAGTTATACAACAAATATAGTTAATTAATAAAAGATTTGGTTCCTATTTCTTCACTATGTACACGACAAGTCTAGAGACAGACAAAAGACCATTTGCAAAACTACACTGGAGCAGTGAAGCGTACCATTATATATGCACGCGCACAGTTTCGATGTAATTCTTTTAAAAAACATAGAGCTGTTCATATAGAGCCGGGTTGGCCCGGCTAACTGGGATCGTTTAGTAAAACTCTTATCAAGGCTTTGATAAACATCCAAAATGACATTTCAAAGACGTACAGTACCTTATAGTTTGATAACAGTATAAAGTTCATTTAAATGATCTTTTATGGTTACGAAAAAATGTTTTGTGACACCGATTCATCCCGTCTAGCCGGGCTGGTCCTGCTCATTTGAACAGTCGTCTCATAGTCGAGAAACATTATGTAATTCTGTTTAAAATTTAAGATAAATTGGAGAATATAGCCGAACTGCCAAGGCTATACATGCATGTTATGTTTCAGTGTTTTGCAAATGCTCTATGAATGAGAATCTTGTCAAGTTAATCGTCTGGGTATTTGATGGTCTGTGAGCCAAAAGCGACAGTGGTGAGATCACATTGTTTATTAAGTTACTTGCTGACTCCAAGGGTTAGTTCACTAAATTGATCTTTACCGTGATTGTTTCTGAACACTTTGATCTTTGATCTCAAATAATCGTGCAAGGTCGACAAGCACACCTTCTTGCAACCGGTACTAGACGTTCTTCTCTGGGAGAATCACATACAACAACGCGCTTTATCTTTGACTTAAGTGGTCTACAACAGTTGCATGTTTCTACGAATTTCGCCCCTCGCAAACGTGGTTTTGACTCAGATGCACAGTAGCCTCTACATCCTGTGGTAATGATTGGCTGTAGACCACAACCCTTGGTCATGACTGTTGTTTGCGCTTTTTGTGCTCTACACAATTGATGCCCATTGACGTGAACGTTGCCAATTAGTAAACACAGAAAGACAGCTAACTTAACAATGATCTTCTTCATCTTAAACTGGAGTCTAAAAAGAGAAGAATAAATTAAAGATATTGAAGATTGGTGATGAAGTTCAAACGTTGGGCTATATAGCTGCCTAATTTCAAAGTTTAAGTACATCATCATGCAGTTCGACCTTCGCCTTTGAATTACGCCATTTTTAATATAATCTTTTTTAAGGCCCGTTTACACTTGCAATTTTTGCTGCGATTTCTAGTGTGATTTTTTCCTATTCTGATACATGTGAATGAGTAGATGAGTTACGAATGTTCGGAGTACATGTACCCTCATCTGAATATTCATCACTTATCCACTCATTCACATCCATCAGAAGAAGAAAATCGCACCTAAAATCGCAGCAAAAATTGGAAATGTAAACGGGCCTTTAGGAAAATTACGTTTGACTATCATATAATTGTGATCGACAGAAGTAGTCGTTCTAAAGCTAAAAAACGTTTCGCAAGGAAAACCTAGGTCTGGTTATTTTTAAGTTTAGTGCATACTTATTAAAGACGCTTAATTGAAGACACTTTCACATTTTAAGCCATAATGAACTAGTTTTTAAACTTTTAACTTTTTCAATATTAATGTTATTTTAACATATAATATAGGACAACATGGGATATAGGCAAAATAAGGAAATATATTATACTAATTTTAACTTTGTATATTTAAGAATTGCATTTGAGAACGGTTCCTGCATGAATAAAGATATAACAGTCAAAGTCGTCAAACTTCTCGAATATATCGTTGTTATTAGACATTTCGTTTGACGCATAAATGTGTGACGTTTAAACCATACGGGAAATGCAATATAAAATATTGTGCTAAAATTCAATTCTGCAAAATTTATGTGAATATATAAGATTGAATTGTCGATTCTATTTAATTTGTTGCAATTAATTATTCTATATAATGTCAAATTTAAAAGTTCAGCATATGCGATATTTTGTGGTATAACTTACAGTCTAAACTCTATTTACGGGCACCTCTCTAATATATAGACATCTCTCTAATGTTCAGTGACACACCTCTTTACTGTAGTGTCCCCATCAGAGAGGGCCGAGTGTATTACTGAAAATTATTGAAGCAAAGTATAATTTTCGGCATCGATGAAAATATATGTAAAAACTCTGCACCACATACACCCCTTATAGCATCATCTTTGGCGAGCATAACATACGATATATTGTATTTCCCCAAATATAATTACGTCAACCGGTTATATAAAACGTAGGTTGTGGTTAAATAAACAAACAATAACAACGCGCAGTGATACTGTTTAAAGTCGAAGAACATAATAGCAATGATATATACTTAAAAAACTCATTAATAATTCAGGAGCAAAACACAAAGAAAAATCATAAGCGTGTCGTGGTTTTATATGTGATAAAAAATCACGTTAATTTACATAAACTTTAGCTTTGATTTTCTCAGTTTAGACAAAGTTTATTTTAAAAATTTCTTCGCCAATGAACTCGTATAAGATGAGTCGTTTTTTAAGCTATTTAAAGCACTTGTAGTCGTGTTTTATCACATATAAAACACTCCGCTACGCGTCGTGTTTTATATGTGATAAAACACTCCTACGCGTGCTTTAAATAGTACTTAACATGTTGGTGCTTTACATACTCAGCGGTCATTCGTTCTTTTATACCTGCATGCATGTGATTTCGATCCCATTCACACATTCTAACTGATAATTACAAGGTTATATAACTGTTTACATTAAATCAACCAAATTAACATTGATCCAATCGCTCGAATCGATGCCTCCCTATATACTAAGCAACCTGCAATACTTAAAACATTAGCTTGTCGTTATACAAACACATGAAAAGTTCATATATATGATAACATGGACTACACACACATTTGTAAGTTTGTACAAGTAGCTAGGTAAAGTTAGATAACATGGGTTGAAATGAATAATGATTTTAGGTTAAAGTGCCATAATAATAGCACGTATTATTATCAAATGGTATTGTAGAGAAATCACGAATAAATAAACAAGAATAAAACAAATAACTAATCTACATATCCTTTTTACGCTAAAAAATATCCCAGAAACAATGTATGTTTAATTTTTACTAACTGACTGGCCTTTGCCAGATACCAAAAGTTGGATAGCAATGCCTACCTCTCTTCCACTACACGACAATATGTATCCGTTTGACAGAATCCTTCAAGCTGAGAAGAGCTTTACGATCGATATATTCACAGGAAGAGTGCCTACTTCAACTGATGGTGTTTCTCAACAACAAGGGTATATGTAAATCAGTGGTCTATGAATTAAAATCCGTCTCCAGTTGACAACTATATATTTGCAGCTAATTAGGCAGAATATTGGTAAAATATATAATCTGTAGTTTCCCAGGCTCTCCCACTTAAGATGAGATAAACTCATACATCGTCAAGCTTATCTGTTTGTCAAATAAAAATTTATATTCTCATCATCTGTAAATGAGATACGATCTAGTTATCATCAGCTCAGACGCACACGCAAAATATTTAACGCTTTCTCCGGCTCCAAAAACAAACAGTGCGAGTCGGTGTGTAGGAAGATTAATGATATTATACAACAGCACACTAAGACGTCTTTCTTTGTTTTGTATATATTTGTTTTAGCAATGTTTTATCCAAATAAGATAAAAATATCAGACACATAATACACGTAGGCGTTTTCCCATGCTCCTCAATAGGTGATCAAAAATTCCTTAATTGGTTGACTGAAGCAGTATTTGTATAAAATCTTTGTAAACATCGTTTGCATCAGAACATCTGATATTTTTCTCATGAAATTGATTTTTTTGTCTATTTTGGGCATGCATAAACAGCATAAAGAGCACTGCTATATACCGATATATCACTTTTTTTGGCGATCGACTGAGAAGAAATGAATTATATAACTATACTTATATTGTCTTATATAGGTATATATTATATTATATTATATAGTGGGTCACATGTAACATAAGATGAGCAACAATTATCCTAGTTTTGTAAATGTGATGTTGTCAGTATCTGTATGGATTGGGCGACATGGAAACAAAAACAGGGTGTACGTAATATCAAAAAGCCGCTGATTAATGTGGCTTCAGCATGCATATCAGTCACACGCTTAGCAATTGAGTATATAGATTCAAAGTTTTCTATAAAAAAGATCACACAGCTGGTTGTCGTATGAGTAAAAATATTGCATTTTCCGAGATAATACATTTACACTTCGGCATTTTATAATGTCATTTTGAAATTCAAATCTACGCCCCTCTTGGACACAGTTCAAATTTAAACTCAGGGTTCCCTTTAGTTAATGTTTATATATTAGGGTGGGGTTAGGTTCAGGGTAAATTAAGGTTTAGGGTAAGGTATAGTTGTTGATTCTTTTCTCCCTCACGTTCATCCCCTTTCGCAACGGTCTATTATTATTAAGTGTACATGAGGGCAGTTGAAATCGCCAAAACTAAGAGCGATGACCGATCGATTCAAGCATTTAATTATCTAGCAGGCTATATCTTCTTGTCAGTTAATTAAGGCCGTTTAAAAGCAGGAAGGCCATTAATCGGTACAAGTTACCTACCAAGTATATTGCGTGGGATGTGTAGTCTATATGACGATCGCTCTTGTGTTTTCTCTTTTATTCTTGTACAGTGGTACATTTGTATGGTTGAAGGTCAATAGACATACTAGTCATAAACTAACATAATAATGGTCGTTATAGTAGATCAAATATAGTATTGGATTTTTAATACATTGGTCATGGTGACATATGCTATCATTTCCTTAAAGTGTTTATTGTTTATTTATTAACGCAGACGCCGGGACAAAATGTTATCTGTTTTTATTATCAGTAATCAGTTCATACTTTTATAGTATAAGATCTCACAAATCAATACTGATTTCTTTCTCTTGCATCAAATGTACATAGAATAAAAACTTCATTATTGTAATACGCGGCTTCTAGTTTTCATTATGCAAGATACGAAGACTTTATTACTTATTAGCTGACCCGGTTTGCTATAGTAGTTCAATTGTGTGACATCCATACGCTGTTTGATAAGCTGTTAATAGGTCGGGCGGTTTAATTTGATAGTTTGTTTTATGCACATGTTTCATTCTGTAATAAATGTGTAGATGTACTAATTTGTCTGGAGTGTAATGATGCTAGAATATTCTACAGACGTTCTAAATTAGGCCTTTCCATATACCGCACATTACGATATTTCTAAAAATTTGCAAAATCATAATGTCGCAATCACATGATTTCCATTTTTTTGCTCTAATGTTAGTTGATTTGCATATTTTGAGTATCCATCCATGTAATGTACAGTGTTCATATACAAACACAAACATATTAATTAATATAAGATTTAACGCAATGAATGCAAATTCATTATAGCAGAATTTGATACTATAATATGATACTAAGTATTCAGTTACTCTAGTTTCAAATTGTTGGGAAATTCTGTTGTAACTTGAAACAATTCACATTAACACGAGAAAAACTGGGTTAGTCTACGAAACAATTTCGCCACAACGTCGACATATTATATGTGATATAACTGACAATACATCTGTTTATGCTGAAATGATGAGATAGGCATTTGCATGTTCATCGTTGCAAAATAATAACTATTCATATTAGTGCTCTGCAGTACGATCGATCTATAAGAAATTTTTCCAATTTGACACAATTATCTAATGAGTAATATATGTCTTGGCGTGATTTTCCTTAGTATGTCAACAATTGGATTTGGTGCCTGATTTAAAGGTATAACTATTTTCCCAATTTCAAACAAGAAAATTCTATCATTTATTTGAAATTGGAAATGCATACAGTAGTTAGAGTGGGTGGACACTTTGAGACTTCGTTTACATTAGAGCAAAAGATTCCGGACTCATGAAAGTATCCGGGTTCCTAAATTGTTTTTTTTCGGATGATAGATTTCCCACAAACTTTTCCGGCCGGTATTCGAAAGTTCCAGATTTATACTCTATTTGTGACCATCTTGTATCGGACTCATGCTCATTCATTAGTCAAACGGCAAAACAAATCCGATATGAAATTACCCGGCCATCCATGATTCGTAACGAGTCCGAAAATGTTAATTTGCTCTAAGTGTAAATGTATAGTCCGAACAAGTGCCAGATGCACAGAGAGTACATATGTCAAGTACATATGTAAGTGTAGAGATGTACAGACAGAACAGTAAAGTAGAAAAACACATCTAGCCTTTCAACTCCTTTGGTATAGGCCTGATGTATAATCAATATACCTGTGCGAATTCAAAACACCGATTAACTCGAATTCCCACGCATGTAGTTGAAGCAAAATAGGAGATGCTAAGATAAAGTTATTCTAATTTAATCAGTTCAATTAACGTTGTCTTCTGATTGAAAGTCACAACCGCAAAACTAATTCGACCTCTATGCACGATGCATGTCCATTGTACTTTCGCTCTTAGAGATCGAGGTTTGGGGTTGTTTAACTTTGAAAAGATAATTTCAGTTGCATGAATCAGCTGTACATGCATGCATGGTTTCGCTTTTCAGGGGCGGATGGCTGGATGACCAGTTTGAAATATTAAATAACACTGAAAAAGTCAAACGATGATTAAACAATCCGACATGTTATTAATTAATCAGATCTTATCTCTTAACAAAATTATCATAGCGCTTTGATTACGAAATGTCTTTCGTTTGCAATTTTTTCCGAATATACCAGAGCAACAGTGTCAGTGACATTTTCATGAATTGCGACTTATTTTCATGCAGCAAAATAATCCTGTCCGTCTCATCCTGTCGACCAGTAATCCTGAGGGGTCATGTACGTTATAAACACGCGCTGTAAAGTGCCTGACATATCTTACCATGAGAAGTCTTTAGATTTCAACTGGATTTCTTACGTTAACTGTATTTGATTCCGGAGTTCAGGTGTATATACCATCTGGTAAAAATTAATATACTGGAAACAAAAATGACGTTATATGGTTCTGTGTAGCAAATGCTTGCCGATAAAGATATTACTTGATTATGTAGCAGTTATATATAGACGTTTGATTTCGACACAGAATCTGATTCTTGAAGTATTGACCAAGTACTGAGTTACAAATGCCTTGAAGGAATATCGCAGTTAAGTACCTCTGTCAGCATCTACGACCACAATTTCGCAATAACTTAATGCTCTAAAATCCAGAGTGGTTGGCAGGTCAAATTAACCGGTGATTAGAGCGTTTGTGTGTGTTGGGTTTAAGACATTGGACCAGGTAATTGCACGCCTACGTAAAGTATTTAGTCTTGTCGCCATCAATAATTATTTTTCTGAAGCGTTATAATTACATGCATACACCCACATTTATACTCTTATTGCCGCCGTTTAAATAATAAATCTAAAAATGATTGCACAGGTTGACGTTGATTATAACATTATGGTAATGCCCTATCGTACAGTACTTCCCTGATGCAAGTCCATGCAGAGAATTTTGAAAGTTTCCTCAACAAAAAGTCAAGTATGTTTTAAGTCAATGCACACGAGCATTGCATGAGCACTAAATGAGTGGAACTGATACTTTGGAGATGACTTGGTCAATTTGGAGTTAATTTGGTATCATTTTATCAGTTATATTCAGTAGTGATTCTAGAACCATCCGGAGACGTAACAATTACATGCTGATACGTACGTGTTTGTAATATGGTTCGACTAAAAAATTGACATGCAGTTCTATTTTGTAACCAATGCATACAGGGACTATACATAAAAGGCTAAGTTCCGACTGATCAAAAACAGTGAAATTTTATTCCAAAACAATTCTATCTTTTTCGCCAATTGTCAACGGAGAGTTTGACCTAACGAAAATAGACGCGCTTGATAAGTAGCGCTTCTCCGAGTGACCCAAGGTTCTTCATCCTGCCGAAAAGGATGCTTGACAAAAAAGAATTTTGTCTGATTTGTTAAGAATCTTTTTCATGATGAAGAACCTTGGGTCACTTGAACCGCGTTTTGGATGTTTCTCGGCAAGGCCTGCGTAGTCAAAGGGGGGGGGGGGGAGCCTGGCAACCAGGCGAAAATGTATGCCCTGAAGCTTGTGAACATTCTGACAAGATAAATAGATTAGAGCAGTTTTCTTCGGCTAATGTACACTTATGTACTCCTTGTAGATTTATCTTTCATTGCAAATTCTGCGGATTATTAAAATAACGAAACGAGTGATTTATTTGGTGGAGCTCATAAATCAAGTCAGCTCTTAGGAGACGATTACATGGAGCATTTTCAACCCCGGGGTTGAGCTCAGCCCTGTTTACCGGGTTGAAATTTCAGCCCTGTCTGTAATACAAAACTCTATCAAAATCAAACGCGCGATTACATGACAAAATTTTCAACCCAGGGCTGAGTTCAATCCCAGGGTTGAAATTTCAACCCTGCTTCAGATCGTTTCAATCCAGGGCTGAAATTATCATGAGTTATTCGAGCATGCGTGGTAGTGACTATTTATTACAAGACAACAAAATAAAGGCTTTTTTACTTCCGCGAATCGATGCCGAGAACGTATAGTATAGCGTTTCAACCCCGGGGTTGAAATGGTCCATGTAATCGCAAAAAATTTCAACCCGGTTAACAGGGCTGAGTTCAACCCCGGGGTTGAAAGTTCTCCATGTAATCGGCCCCTTAGATCAGTAAACCGCCTTGTATTGTTGCGAGTGCAGTATATCTTTCATTCACTGTCACTTTAGTAAGTAAGTAAGCAAATTCTTTATTTAATGAGGATAGCACTTAATAGCTAAAGGCTAATGAACTTGTGGTCCTTTAATCTTTACAAGAACTTGTAGTCCTTTATCAACCTACACTCATTTTCTCGAAATTTTCGAATTTACAGACAGTATTTGTGGATTATCACATTTCGTTGATAGGTATATGGATATATTGTCATTGTGATTCCTTTGACATCGAAATTAAACAATATACCAAGATAACACCCAATTGATTTGTTATCCCTTGCATGAGTGGACTGGAGCCAACAGGCCGATCCGAGACAAAGGAGCTATGCATGGACATGAGCATTTGATGATAAGAATTATTCCTCAGTGCAAATTTAAGAGCTCTTAGAAACGGTAATGAAAAACATAAAGCTTTAATTTTTTCTTGAAGATTTCGATCTTCTGTACAAGTAATATAAAAAATATTGTAATTAAATATGCAAATAAAAACATGTGGTGTTTTTCACGCGGTAACAAGTTCAAGTATATTGATCGCCACGCAAACCTACTAGACACATATATAGGTTTTCATCAAATTAATAAAATGACTATTCCTGTATTTTCGATGTACTTGTCTCGATGATTATAATTAGTATACGCATGAATATCAGAGTAATAGTACAAAGTTGATATACCTTCACTAGCAAACACAAGAGCATTTTGGTCTTATAAATGTTTTTTACATATGCAGCTAATTTATGGGAAAACATTTCTGAGTGCTGCATGTTTATAAGGTAGTTTATCTAAGTCAGTTAAAGCCATGCATGTAGTTATTCATTCGGAAATAAGCTGTTCGATCGTTTGCATGGAAGCAAATCATATTACACGTAGCTAGCTATACAGGTTTGACTTTATTCAAAATTTCCATCCGTCATCGTTCAACTATGGTGAATCGACACTGCTTTGAACGGGCCTTTAATAACTAATATAGTTGGCAGATGAAGAAAAACCACAAACACCAACTCTCTTCTCTGCATATATATGGTGTGTTGACTTCAAGTAATCGTTTGAGTTAGCATTTACAATATAGACATTTGACTTACAGTACGCAAGTGTTGATTGGTCAAGAAGCGTGTTTTTATAACTGTGGCCGTCGTATAGAAACATGGAACGTTTCCGCCTAGCGCCTTTTAAATTTAAAAACGTAAACAAATTAAACAATTTGAATACGCGTTATAATCGAATCTGGAATCAACCAATCATGCAGCTCAAAGCAGTTGTCAAGTAACGGTCACAGATTGCTTCAAAACAAAACAAACATGGCGGCCGCGCTACAAAAAGTAAAAGTTGAGGGGTGGAAAATATGCCATTTATCTTTTTTTTTTAAACGGAAAAGACTTTACCTTAAACAAGACTAGCCAAACTTACATAGTTGAGCCAAATTTCAAGTCATTAGCATTGTATAATGTAATATAACAAAGCAGCAATTAAAACTTTGTCCGTGGACGATTCGCTATAACGTAAATTAAAACTTAGTACAATTTTCTGGAACATTTTTATGTCTATTATTAATCCGTAATAGGATGGTTCCGAGGGCAATTTGGATAAAACAAGCACTCGTGAGCCAGAGACGAAACTAACCCCTTTTAACTGAGGGGGGAGGGGGGGGTCTGCCAGAATTGCCCTGCCAAAATCAATGATGCCCTGCAGCAAATCTTTATTCCTGGCCACTATTTTTCCCAAAAACGTTGGCGAGCGGGGAGGGTGGAGGGGTTGAAAAATTTTTTTTCCGGACAGTGAAAAGAAACATCGAAAAAATTTTTCCCGACATAAACCAGTTACATTAAAGGTCAAAAAATTCCTGTTGAAACATGGGTGAAACCCTTATTTTTAGACCAATATCTGTAAAATTTAGGTCTATAAAATCTACTCAATTCCGCTCCGTGAAAGCCTTGTAAGTTACTTAATAACTCTACATTCAATTATTCAGTAAAATCTTTGATTGCCCTGTCAATCCAGATGATTCGCCCTGCCAATCCAGATGATTCGTATTTTGGGGGTGTCACACCCCCCCCCCATACCGCCCTCAAGTTTCGCCCCTGCGTGAGTTTTTCAAAGAGCTCAAATAGCACTCGTTCTTCGGACTCGTGCTGTTTTAATTCTCATTGAAAAACTCGCTCGTGCATGTATTATCCAAATTGCACTCGAAACCATATTCCTCTTACCTATACAAATAGACTGAGACATTTTTTCTATGTTTCTAGTACAGTTATAATAAAAACATTGTGGTAGTTTGGGAGAACTGGAAATAACGTGAAAAACTCCCCTTATATACGGACTCGTTTTCCCACTGATTATTTCTCGTTCAATATTAAGTTTTGTTTAAATAGTACAATAAGATAGGGCGATAGTTCAAGATTCTTGTTGATAAAGGCACAGCCCATTATATGACACGATCGTAACCGTTATGACGATGCTTTATTTAAATAAAGTAATCATTTATATATGAACAATTACAACTTTCGAGTTCAATTTCTCTTTCGAAAATCGTCCGTTTGCTACCATGTCATGCATGCAAAGTCGTTTATTGTATACTGACTGACACCTAAAATATGCGTCATCAATGTCTCCTTTTCAACAATCTTATACACTGCAGTCTTTTAAACTCACGATGATAAATTAATCAATATATAAGCTCCTTTTTGTGTTCATAATTTTGCAGGGTCGCAAAAACACTACAAAACAGCTATGTTGATCTTCTATATTGACCGGCAAAAGAGTGTCCTTCCATTATGGAATTTTATCAGGCAAAATTATATATTTCTGGTGGCATACTGATTCATATGATTACGAAATTGGCGTTTTACTGGTTGTCTTAGGTTGTTAGAAAATTGTAAACAATACAGCTATACGATGTATAGTAAACTGCATTGTGGCGCGTGTAACATCCATTATTTTATAGAATCGATATGGGAATTTACGTAATGTTCCTTACCTTTGTGAACTATATATAGTAAAACGTGCAAGTCACCTTGCCTTGGATAATCTAATATGTGATCCAAACTGTGTATAAAGCTTGACAACAAATTTATGTAGTATACTAGTGCTTTTATACTCGTCTGTTATATCTTGGCATAACCGCTGAAATTCAACAAGCATTAAACAATCTCTTGCTATATCTCTGACCAACTTAGAAATTAAACATCAACATTCGTGCCGTACACAGCTGCCCTGGTTTCATTTTTGGCTTCTTTTGATATGATAGGTGTCCACAATAGCGTTATATATATATCAGACTAATTGTTTTGGGTTTGACCGCAGTTTTACCACCTGTGTATTCAAGTACGAGTCCTCCCTGGGAGTTCACAACAAGTGTTTAAAGATGTGTTACAGCATATTAATTATATTTAACACATTTAATTAGACTATATATAGGTAAATATATAGCTAGTATATATTCAATCAGTCACGTGATTCGAGCGGAAAGTGCAATATAGCTATATATGCTGTACGAAATAACCACTAATCGGTTAACTCATGTTTATATCTACCCGTTGCTATCGATCTAATTCACATGTTTTTAAATACCTCATATGCCTAGCGGTTATCACTGTTATGATAATGCATATAGAATGGACCAAGGTTACATTTATGACAACAGGCATAAATGTACGCGTTAAATATAAGGCGGTGCCTTTTCCCATATACATCGGGTCAGTATTAGAATAAAGTATCAACGAAAAATCTTGCAACTTTTATCTACTTTTATTAATATAAAAAATTATCAGTTATATTATTATGTTAACTTATGAATTTTTCAAAGTTTGAAGGTTATCAGCTCGCATGCATAATTTCTCTTTGCTCTTTTAAATGTGGGCGAGATACGTTAAACCACATAAAGCCGCGGTTTTCCCGACTAGCGATTTTTTTCGCGCGAATCGACTTTATTCTTTTGTCTAAAACTAATTCGTTCCATATGGTTCCAGCCGAAAGCTCAAGGACAAAAGCATATAGTGGAAAACCGGCTTAATACTATGCATGCATGGAGTGCGATTTGTGCGTATGCATGCGTCTTTTGTCGTTTTTACATTTTAACTAATTAGTCATATGATTATTTTACTGATTCATAAAGCAAGAAGGAATGTCACTAACATTTTTATTTAGTATAGTATAATCATGACTTTTGCATCAAAATAAAATACTATGTGATTCTGTGGTATAATCATGACTTTTGCCTCAAAACAAAATACTATTTGATTTATGCATATATGCACTCCAATAATTCCCTTACCATATATAAGAATGGATCTGGGTCTTCGGAAAACTGGCTATAAATGCGGCTCGAATATCCTATTTCTACCACTAAAACTCAGCATTTAAACAAAGTACTTTTTTGACAATTGACACTTTCCGAATTGTTAAGATTGTAAGATTATATTGTAGTAAGCCTGAATGATAAAAACAAATAAAGCGGGCAAACCAATTGGTATCAAGTGGTATATGGACGCGTTGCTTCATAAAAATGCCGGCCACAATGCTCGGGTTTATTGGAAGATGAAGTCAATTTGCTTCTTTAAAAGCTCTATGGCTATATATGTAACTAATCTATTTGTAAATTCGATTCCATGCAGACTGTAATAAATTTTACTAACACGAAATCGAGTCTCGATCGGCCTCAGGGGAAAGTACGGAGTGATTGATACGAAGACTCGTCCTATTCAGTATTTCCTTTAGAAACGCCACTTCTTTCCTTTATTTGCATCATGGCTATGGCTAATCTTCATAGTATTATTGTACTATTACTGTACGACGACCTTAATTTGGTTTGTACAGCTGCTCATTCTAGTGGTATTTTTACCAAAGACCACCTGTTTTTCTTTTCAAGTGTTTACTATAGATATATTAACGGTATCCAATGTGTTTATTGATGAAACCGTGTCGCCCACGTGTTATAGTTAAGTGCATGTATACATGCATGTTGACTGTGGTTTGGCCAAGCTTACCGCTGCATTATGAATATAGAGTAGGCGTTTTACTGAGGCATATTTTACAGGGTGTCCTAAAAAAACCCCAAACTATAAAATAACTTATTGTTAGAATTTGAATGCTGAACCCACAAGTGCATAAAAGCTTGACATAAGTAAATTTTATGCATAAAGAAACTGTTTACGAAGCGGCTTTAAATTGGCCCAAGAGCAAAAAATCTTGCGCTTAAGAAAGATATTTTAATTTCTTTATAATAATAAGTCAATATTTAATATATACACCCTGTCAACATTTTACGCATCTTTGCGTTCAGCTTAGTACTAGGACATTCAAATTGTAACAATACGTTATTTCAATAGTTTTGGCCGTTTTTTGGGACACCCTGTAGGTCATAATTATAATGGTTAATAGCGTAACTAATGTATAAAGATAATTTTCCTGAATTAAAAAATAATTATGTTTTATTTGGAAGAACGTTTAATAAGAAATGAAATTTTAAATTTTTGCGTACCTTGCTTGGTTTTCAAATAATTTTCATAATATAATATAATAAAATATATTTTTCTCGTATACTAGTAATTGGCTGGGAGGGAGAGGAGTTCTTGATGTCAAAATAACCTAAATACTACTCCACGTGGGACTGAATCTTAGAAAACATTTTAAAATTAAAAAATAGGAAGCATTTCTTGTGTATACAATTATAGAACCACGGGTGAGAGTTTGAGAGAACAAGAACTCCCACCCGCGTGGTCCTATAATTGTAATGAAATTCTCTCCAACTTCCACAAGTGTTTCTATGATAACTGTATAGAAACACAGGAAAAATGTTATCTCTTTCTTTTATAATATAACTCAAGAAACGTTTTTATAGCCATTTTTATATCGATTAATTTACAAATTTTCATTAGCTACCTCCGCATGTAAAAGTCCACTCGATCAACCGTTCTTCCTTCTACCGAGCCTAGCCTTCTATCGCCAATTTGACCATCAGTAAATTGTGGGACGGTATATTTAAACTGAGAATTCGCTTTTTGTTATTCGAGTTCTTAATTTTGTTTTTAATTTAAAATAGTATTTTCACACTTTTTCGATTAGAACGCGTATTAAAATTATTTTGTTTATACGTTTCAAAATCAAGCGGATGCGATACGGGAAATACGTGTTTCCATACAGTTATATAGAAACACGGCTTCGATCTCGACCAAAAACCCTCGCGCGCTTATGTTATATTATAAATCAGTTTGATATTATTCATGAAAATACAGCAGAATCAGCCTACTAATTTATTTTTTATTAGTATAGTCTATACAGGTAATCACACGAGAAGTGCAATTAATGATTTACACTACGAATGATTTTTGAGAAATGTGCCAAATTGCACGAGCCGCCACATGCACATTGGACAGTTGAAATACGTTTGAAATAATCAAGATCTCGTTTATTTAAATTAAACATCTAAACTATGTACAAGAAATAATCATAAACGTGTTCTCTAGCAACTGATAAATGGTTTAAAGTGCCTATGACACGAAATTTCACCCCAAATGTTTATGATTGCATTGTAAAGATCACTTAAAATGACTTAATAATTTCTTTTATAGAATTTTGATAACTTGCTTCCTTTTCAAGATATTCAACTTTGTTTCATATGCAAATATCACCAGTGTGACATCACATCGCATAATGACATTTTGAAAACGCAATATTTTACCTTGATAAAATATTTTTACAAACAAATACAGAGGGTTAATTACTAGTTATGAAATTAATACATATACAAGGGCAATTTTTAAGTTTTTTAGATACGTATTCGTCAAGAAAACTATACTTTTCTGAAAACTCATTATGCGATGTGATGTCACACCGGTGTTATTTGCATATGAAACAAAGTTGAATATCTTGAAAATGGAGCAAGTTACCAAAATTCTATAAAAGAAATTATTAAGTCATTTTAAGTGATCTTTACAATGCAGCCATAAACCGTTGGGGTGAAATTTCGTGTCATAGGCGCTTTAATAAATGCCAGAAGCCTCAAACGTTGTCACAAAGTTGATCATTATTTTTTCTGATAATCCCGTCTGCCCTGTCTCTGTACGTAACAGTAAACGGTCAAGTAAACATAGCAAAATACCTGAGAGTTAGTGATAGTTATGTGACAATTGCGAGGCAAAACAAATACATTAGATTGGCTGAAACTTCCATAATTAATTTCATTATTCACCAATCCTAGCTCTACCACTATAACCTTCGATTCAGCAACAAAATCGCAGTCAAATGGGCGAACGGTGGATCTATATACAAGCGAGAGAGTTGTCTTGTCTCGCTTGCGCATGGTTTTCAGCGTTATATGTACTATTTAAAAAACGAGCAGGAGCATTTTATTAGGTTTAAAACACGACCTGCGAGTTTTTTAAATGGCTTCAAAAACGTTTGCATAATAAGTCAAATCTTTATATAAAAATCTTTATATAAAAATCTTTATATAAAAATCATTATATAAAAATCTTTAAATAAAAATCTTTATATAAAAATCTTTATATAGTTTGCATAACAATGGTCTTTTGTTAAAGTGTTCTTTAGCTGGTATAAATACGTATGCACGTGACTAATTTCTTACTCAAGATTGGATAATTGCTTCATGAATTATTAATGAGTTTTTGAAATATAGTTAAAAACGGTGCACTATAAGATTCTAATGATTTCCATGATAAATCTTTATTTTGTAATGTTTGTATGAGACCAATCCGGAACAGTTTAAAAATATTTAACTACCCTGTATTATGCCCAGGTATGCATATACATTAATAAGTTGACCAATCGCTATCTTTCAAATAGGTCTTAGGGCCTGTTCATATGGGCAAAAGTTATCCCGGTTAACGATAGGACTTTTCGACTATCCAAATGATTTTGTTCTGTTCATATGGAGAAATATTATCCCACTTACCGGAAAAAGTTTCCGGCTGTGACGTAGCACTGAACATCAATTGAATTGAAAAGTTGCTGACACGACAAAAAGTTATCCCGCTAAGCGGGAAAGTTGTGTTCATATGAGGAAAGCATTATCCCGGTCACCGAGATCTCGCCTGTCAACAAGCGAGATCTCGGTACACGAGAAAATTTTTTGTCTCATATGAACGCAATGTAACTTTTCATATTATTTTCGTAACAAGGCGAGATCTCGCTCGTAAACTTGTCGAAAAGTTTTCTCACTAACCGGGATAACTTCTGCCCATATGAACAGGCCCTTAATCATATTTACAGCACCTGTACTGTACTGTATATACCAAAAGATAATTAATTTTACTGTAGCCATGCATATGGTAGATAACGGCGTTTCTTCATAAAATGCATGAAATTCATACTGTATAGATTCCTCATGATTGAACTGGCGTGCCTGTTTGCTCTGGCAAACATTTATACTGATTTCCGAATCGTAAAAGAAAATAAGCATGCTTGCATTTAATATGAACGTTGTATAAGCTATATTCGTTGTGAATGTTCTATAGACGACTCCGAAACTAAAGTGGTCTCCTCATATATATAATCAAAGCTTAAAATATGATGAGTATCGTCATTCCTCGTTACAATTACGTTACGAATTGACAAAGCAGTAGAGATATGTGGCTGTCACAATATGCTTACAATGACAACATTTTTTGTAGGTGGCGCCATAACAGCAAATGTGCTCAAAATCTTCGAAGTTCTCGTGTCCTCGCAAGACACTCGCGTGGATTATATATAACTCCATAGAACATAAATCTTAAATTTCTTTATTCCACACAGTTTAATGTGAATCATATAGACTAGTGGATGTAAAAATCTAGTTTTAAAGCGAAACCAACGTTGGTGCTGCCACACAGCTGGTGGTCAGTGTGTCTTGCTGTTCAATTTTTGTTCTCAACTTATTAAATTCATGTGCATTCGATTCTATCTGACTCAATCTCTTGAGTGTTCTAAATGCATGACGACACTACAGTTGGGCGACGTATTATTCAGAAATAAATGCTCGTCTGTACAATGACTGGACTGACTTAACAGCAGTTTGACTGCGGTCTTTATTACAGTATATTTGTATTGAAAATTGCTAAAATGAAGTTTCAATTACTGCTGGCTTTGATAACAAGTTGACTTTAAATCTTAAGAAATGAGAAAGTTGTATTGCGCGCGGACGAAATTATGCTAGATAAAGAGGTGCTCAAGCTACATGATTCACCAAAACAAAGCGATCATGCTGTGTCATTTTACTTTGCAGGTGATTATGCCAAGTAGTTCAACATCTTCATTACTTGGCAGATCAGATGAGGCATTTAATGGCACGAAGTTGATGAGACTAATTTTGGATGGTGGAACAGAAGCATTGAGGAACATTTTTAGAAAACTTCACCCTGGCAATTTACAGGTTGTATTATCTACTAATCAGTGCGTTCTTTCAAACCTCAGAAGTCGCAAAATAATCAATCAAAACCAGTGGAATAAATTATACCCTGTCCCTCCCAACCAACCAAATATTAAGGATTTTGACATAACTTTACTATCTGTTCTTTTAAGAAACATATGTAGTTTATCACCACCATGTTTCGGTTGGGACAAAATGCCCAATATTTCAGATCATTCTGTTGAAGCCGATATCATTCGTATAAGGTTTTTTCGTAATGAGCGTTTTGGCCACATACCCAATACAGCAGTTAGTACGGCAGATTTTAAGACTTTCTGGGCAGAAATAAGTTTACCATTAGTTCGCTTAGGAATAGACCAGAAAAAAATAGATAGATTAGAAAATGAGGAGTGTGGGGAAGAGGAAGTGGAGCGAGTGGTGAAGGAATGGAATGAATGTGATAACAAAATTGTGAAAGCTTTGGAAGAAAACAGGAAAGTTTTGAATGATATGAAGACATTTGTTGAACAAGGCAAAGAATCTCGATCGTATGGTGTGTTAAACAAGCACCTTGTTTGTTTCGACTTTCAGAGGGAGATAGAATTATATGACGGAAAACTTACCAGAGGTACTCGAAAATGGGTATTTGAACAAATTTCAACCTGGTTTAATAAAGAAACTTCCAAAAATCGTGCATTTATCATTTGTGCCCTTGCTGGCATGGGTAAGTCTGTTATCGCCGCTGTTATCTGTAAACGATTTGCCGAGTACATTGGTGCATCTCATTTCTTTGAATACAATAACAGTCAATACAACAATCCAAATTTCTTCCTTCAGTCTTTAGCTTGGCACTTATCCAAAGTTCTTCCTGCGTACAAAGAAGCTCTTATAAAGAAGCTTTCTGGGAATTTGAGGAAATCCTTGAATGATATGAATATTGAAGGGTTGTTTGCGACTCTTTTTAAAGAACCGTTTTCAGGTATTTCTGATCCTGGAAAGCGTATATTGATTGTGCTGGATGCTGTTGATGAAAGTGAATACTATGGAAGAGAAGAACTTGCTAAGTTAATCTCTAATCATTTGCATAAGCTTCCTTTTTATCTTCGATTTCTGATCACCACAAGGCCAGAGAAAAAACTTCTCAATACGTTCACAAAACTTAACCCCTTGTTTATTGAAGCTAATGATGAGCGAAATTTGAATGACATCAAACTTGTCTTACAAGACAAAATTCCAAGTTCAAATCATCCTACCGCAGATTTTATCAACAGTTTAGCTCAAAAATCTAATGGTTTAATGCTTTACGCGTTTTTTCTTACCGAAATTTATCAGGACAATGTCCCCATTCATGATATGGATAGTTTGCCAAAAGCTGTCGAAGAGTGTTATGAAAACTATTTCCAAAGATTGGAAAGGGAATTAAAACTTCTTAAAATTCCCAAAGATAAATTTTTGGGCTTCTTAAGTGCTCTTGCAGTTGCTAATGAACCGTTGCCAGAGGTATTTGTTGGAACCCTTTTTGGCTTTGAAAATTCTGCAGATACAAAGCAAAAGGTAGCAAAAGCCACTAATGTTCTTTCGTCACTTCTTGTGATCCAGAAAGACAAATCCATTTCGTTCTTTCACAAATCATTAAGAGATTGGGTTGTTGATTACTCAGAGCATGACTACTCTGTTAATGTGCAATATGGTCATAAGATTCTCTTTGATCTGTGTGTTAAGAAATTGGACGATTTGAAGAGAAATGGCGTTAGTAAGGAAGGTATTGCTAGTACTGATATTAAGTATGCATTAAAATGCTGGATATCTCACATGCTCAAAGGATTAGAAGATGCAGGGAAACTAGAAGGGCTTGCAAGCGGTTATGTGGTAGATCTAGAAGTTATGTTTGCTAGTGTTTGTGTTAATGTAAATGTTGCTTTGGAAAATGTTGCAAGTCTCCGGAGTCATGAGATGTCCAAACATGTTTCTGACAATACGAGAGCACTAGTGAGGGAATTGTGTTTCCTAATTCGAAAGTTTGCTTTTTCGTTACGAGAATATCCGCAAACTTTTTTGCAGAATGTTGTTAACGAGGGTGGAGAACAACTTTCGCCCAAGGCGTCAACTTTGCTTCAAACACGTTACAAGGATATTTTTTATTTCCAGTTAAATAAGCAACATAGGACAAATGACGCGATTGACGCCCGTTGTCATCTTTCTGCCACAATATCGAGTATTGATGTATCTCCTAAGCATGATTACGTTGTCTGTGGTTATAGAGAGGGCGGAATTGAACTCTTTTCTTTAGCAACGGGTATGCCTGAGTGGAAAATACAAGATTTTACCCTGGAATTGCCATCTTACAATTATATGTTTGATCCTATGATTTATATGTTGCCACATAATATAGTTTTTCATCCTCGAGAAAGCCTCATATTGCCCGGGAGGCTCGATAAGGTGTTAACTTTGCAGGGAACATTCACAACTGGACCATTTAATTCTGATGAAGGGAGTTCTGTATTTACCAATTGTTGTTTTTCCGTGGATGGAAACAGAATGATCACAAATTACGACAATCATTTATTTGTTTGGAACGTTTTTAGCGGCAATGTCGAAAGATGTTTTTTATGTAATACGCTCTGTTCTTTTTCTTTCTCTGCTAGTGGCAATTTTTTGGCCACCACTGATATTGAGAATGTTTTTAGAGTCTACGATGTGACGAGTGATTACAACGTTAATTCAATAAGAATTGAAAATGAGTGGCCAGTCGAAATTATTTCTACTTTTGAACAAAATTCGCGGCTTTGTTCTGTTGGTCAAGTGTTGCGCATTGTGAATCATGATCTCTTTCTGTCATTTGATTTTGGCTCTGTAGTTCACATGGTTCTTCCAAGTAATGTCCACTCTTCTCATGAATTACAATTTTTTTTTCAACATCCAGAGCAGTCTTGGTTGTCACGAATGAGGAAAAACGTTCATGACTTGTCATTGTGGTCTAACTATACTGCAACTAGATACATCTTAACAGGTGATAAAAATGTGCTGGTCTTCTCGTGCAATTCAAATATCATGCGCGTTTTTAGCATAGAGGGTTTAATAGAAACAGAGCAATCGGCACCTAACGTCCATGAAAACGTCTTTTCAAACATATCTACGAATGGTGATTTTGTTTATTTAAATAACCGTTCGACCAAAAATGTTACTGTTTGCAAACTTGGTTCACAAGACAAATATTCAAGACCTCTAGAACTAGTAAAGAAATTAGATTTCTTGGTTGTGAGAGACGGAGTGATTTTTTACAGCGCGAGACATGCATTTATTCCAGAGCTCTGGAACAGCGATGTCACGGAATGTCTTTCATCCCTTGACCAACTAGCTGGCACGAAGGAATGCCTGTCAGTTTCGGACGAAGTAATTGCATGTGTGTTTTTCCAGACACGCGTGGCACGCAAGTTTCACATTATATTTTTTAATGTTTTAACCCGACAAATAGCAAATCAAATGAGTTTTGGCGAAAATAGTCCGTCAGTGTGCGGAATGTCTGTGGACGCACGTAGTGTCAAATACCATGTACTCACCGAGAGGGATGTTCATGAAGTTTCTCTATGGAAAGATGGAAAGAAGGTAGATGGCTGGAAAGATGTGTTTTCTCAAGCTGCAATACCATCAGACATTTTCAGTGCAGAATTTTCACCCGAGGGAAACAAATTAGCATTATCCTATTTGGATTGCAACAAAATATGGATCTTTGATGTTGACTCAACAAGTTTTCTTGCTCAGATTCCAATTCTTGGGCCAGATTTCGACAATCCAGTTTTGAAATTCTTTGACAACGAAAACTTACTTTGTGGCTCATGCAATAATATGTTATATTCTATTAACGTAAATCGTGGTGAGATTTTAACGTGTTTAGATATAGGTGATAAACCAACACCGATTTCTGTATGTCGTAAACGAAACATTGTTTGTGTTGGGCTTAACAAGTCAAAACATTTTAAGTTAGTAAAAGTTTGCTTGCCTCGGAGAATGCACACTAGCTTGATTTAATTAATTATAAAGAAAATGCAGTTGTGATGTAGGCATGGAATATTGATAACTGGTACAGCAAGTTGGTAACGTATAGGTATTATATTATGTTAGTTTTTTAAAGGACTGTCTACACGACACGTATACAATCAATCTGGCGTACGTAAAAGAACAAACAAGCCTAAAGATATTGAGGAATGAACTAAGTGAAGTGGTTTGTTGCACGTAGGCGGCGGAACGAGGGGATACGGGGGCTTGGTCCCCCGGTAAATGGGGCTAAGCTGCACTAAAGACACACTGTCTTTAGCTAACCCCTACCCATGCACACACCCTAAAAGTAGACGTGAGGAGGCTAGTATAGCCTGTGTACGGACGTTACTTTCGACGAAGCACGCGAGAGAACGTCTGTGAGCTGGATGAAGATTGTTTGTTCTGGTCACGTGGATTTTCCACCGATTTGTGGTGCGGCCTCTGATTGGACAGTGCTTTATTTGAATAATATATGACAAACAAAGATATTTCATTGGTTTTTATATATTTAGCATGCGTTTAAAATAACAACGCAAAAATTTTAAATTCAGAAATTTCCTCAAGAATCAAGATTTCCTTCGGGGCATACAAAGGTTTGAAAGACTTGAAATATAATCTGTTGCGTTTAATTTTGTGCTGTATCGAAGTTTAAGAAAATCAAGATAAAATTCTAGTGCTTGGACACTCAGCGAACAATGCTAACAAATATATAAAATACAACAAACTATCGGACGGAAATTGACAATTTATAATTGACAATTTAATAAATTGACTATCTGTTTATATGTTCCCAACCCCTCGCGATAAAGCATTTTCTTTAATTAACTTCGTCTTACTTGGCCAGTTAAAGTTTAATTACTTTAAAATGCACCTTTTGAATAACCAGTTTTGTTTATATTTACAGTCGATTTCACGAAACTTTGACCACAAATGTTCCGAACTTCGTTGTGAAGTTCGCAAGTTCGTTGCGAAGTTCAAAAGTTCATAATGACATTCACAAACCAATTTGTAAAGGTCGCATTTGATTGGCTTATTTTACTTCAGGGATCAATCACAAATTGGCTTGTGAATTCCAAAATGAACTTGCTAACTTCGCAACGAAGTTCGGAACATTTGTGGTCAACGTTTCGTGAAATCGACTGTAATACCTTGTCATTGTAAACAACTATATTATACGCCATATGTACGCCAAGATCTGACTTGTACACCGGACTTGCCGGCTATAATCATCGTTCAGCATTGTTCGCATTCAAAACAAATCTCTGGTGCATTGTATTTCTGGTGCATCGTTTTTCAGATTATATTTCAAGTCTTTCAAACCTTTGTATACCCCGAAGGAAATCTTGATTCTTGAGGAAATTTCTGAATTTAAAATTTTTGTGTTGTTATTTTAAACGCATGCTAATTATCAATTAACCAATGAAATATCTTTATTTGTCATATATTATTCAAATAAAGCACTTTCCAATCAGAGGCCTTTCAGGCCACAAATCTGTTGATAATCCACGTGACCAGAACAAGGAATCTTCATCCAACTCACATGCAGGCGTTCTCTCGCGCGCTTCGTCGAGAGTAACGTCTGCACACAGGCCACCCTATGGCTTGTTTTGTCCCCCAACCAAAGTATTTCTAAGCATTATACAAGATGCGAGTGTGCAAGGTGAAGTATTCATTGGTAGTATGGGGGTAGTTGTAGTAGTAGCCGTACCGGTAGCAGTAATAGTATTAGCAAAACATTGTTCAGGACGGACAAATATTACATATTGAAGCTAGCTGAATGTAGATATTCGACAACCTATGAACGATATAAAACACTTCCAAAATTACACGAGGAATGACGCTTATGAAACGCTTTTCAATGACCAAAATTATTGCTTAGACCCGTATTGCATGGCATCTTTTAATTGAAGTGAGAACATCATAGGCGTACGGGAAGGGAAAAATTAGGGGGCGGAAAGAAATTTGCCCGACTTTTTTGGATTGTGCCCGAGTTGTCAAAAAATTTTCCGGAGAAACTATCCAAAATTGTTGTCGACGGCGGGGGGGGGGGGGGGGGGG